GGGGGCAGTTAGGACGAGTGACAGGGGCCCTAAAAAATTGGTAACATAATATGGGTTGGGGGCCCAATGATATGTTTTCATCAGGCCCAAAATTTCTAATGACACCCCTGTAAAAAGCAACAACCTAGTCAAAGTCACTTAGGGGCCCATCCCCACCATAGTGTAGTAACTGTTTGCGGCCTACAGGGGGTTCCCACACAATTGCATGGCTTGAGTGGTGGTAAACATGCCCACTGCCCAGAGCGGATGCCAGTCCACTGCAGACCAGAAACACGCCTATACCATAGGCGAAGTACACCTACTTCTTCATGGACTGGAGGGAAATAACAGAGGACACCGTCGAGAACCATTTTCAAACTTAAATCCATCGGGTTCCACATTGGATAAAAGAGTAAAGTAAGATATTTTCTAAATGATAAAAATAGTTTTGTTGCTGCAGAGTTTGTAGAATGAATAATCAATTAATGTGAAATTGCTAAAATCACTTTCAGCTATAGAGGCAAAAATGACCAAGTGAAACGGACTGTGCATCAGTATTATTCTCCCTCTAGGTAACGGCATACACGTAGCTTATTTTGTTTCTTCATCATAATCCCCAAGAGGGTTAGAGCAATTTCACACAGCTTCTCTCTACTTGTGTGAGTTTCCTGTTATGGTGCAAAGACCTACTGGTTGGGTGAACTACTGTCTCAGAAACATCCATGTGTGACTATGTGGTGGTTCCATGGGATGGACTAGCGATCTGCCTGTAAACATACCCTCTGCTGAGGGAACATCCCTGATTTTTTTGTTATCCATACAGGTGAGAACAAGCTTGGGGGTCACAGTTAGGGGGCAGCACAGAGAGCTCAGGGTTAAGGGCCCTGCTCAAAGGTACATAGACATGTGACTGTTCTGCTGAGGCCAGCCTCGAACCAGCGACATTCTGATCACAAGCGCAGAGGCTTAGCCCATGTGGTGAGCCACACACCATTATGTTACCATTATATTACATTATGTAATTACACTAAACATCTTTAGTGTTTCCTCCACCTTAGTTTTAAAAAATAATATTAAGAGGATTAATCTCCATTATATGAAAAATTACCTGTCTGGTAAAAAAATAAACACCTGAACAAGCAAACCACTAAAAGCGCATGTTTGGCCAGGGTCCCTGTGATGTAACTGTGATGTAACGTAGTCTTTAAGGCAGGTAATCAAACACATTCATTCACATACCAAGAACAGCGTATTAACTCTCGAGTTCAGCCCAACTGCATGTCTTTGGGGTGTGGAAGGAAAGCAAAGTACCCAGAGACAGACAGCCCACCATAAAAATATTTGCAGATACACGCATGTGCAGTTTGACTGACATTCATCGCACAGCAATTTGATAAGCTTAGTCACAGAAACAGCATAGTACATAAAGGTCTTCACCACCCCCCCCCCCCAACAAAAAGAGAGTGCTGTGAAAACAAAAACAAGGCTCTTGATAAGCTGCGCTGACTTCCCGTTGGCAGACCTCCAAACATGATCCAGAACTACCAGTCAAACTGATCCGCACCTTCTATAGTAACTGTTCTGCCAAAGGCATGATGGCTCATAAATCAGTTATGAAAATGTATAATAAAAAAACAAGTTGTCCATTGAAACAAAATACTCCAAGTAACATAACTTGTCTTCCTGTAATCATTTGTGTGGTTGCCAATTCTTGTTTTTGTTACTGGCCACTTATTGGAAGCTCAGCCTAGAAGCCAGTGTAACTCAGCCAACCTCTTACTTCCTGTATCTGACTCACTTATATGTTGCTTTGGACAAGAGTCTGACAAACAGAAATATAGACAGTGAGATTGCAACACTAGTGAGTGCCAATCACCAGACAAATTTGCATGGCAAATATACCTTCACTCTACAACGTCTGTCATTAGCTGCTCTACAGGATTTGTAAGAGCCTGTCCTTTCTTCCAAAAATGGCACTGTCTGGATGAGTGCATCAGATATGCAAGAAAAACAGCACAATTTTGTTTATTCATTTGTTTCTTAAGCTTATTTTACTGAAGGTTACTAAAGGCTTCTGTGGTCAAAAACCATGTCACTAGAAACAAAAAAAAAAAAAATGATGAACTCTGAACTGTTTGTATACAGTACAGATAGCATTTAAAGACTGACAGATAACCAAGCAGGTGTGGATCTAACCTGTGGTCTTAATGAACCCCAGTCAGACATGAAAGTGCCACAACTGCACTTAACATGTTGGAAAGACATTGAAGTGAAGACTTTCTGAATTTTACCATGGTGACATCTTAGCTTCTTTGATTGTCGCTACAGCCATCCATATTACAAAAATTAATTTCTCACTCAGTTTACCTCGGTCTGAGCCAATATTTACAATAGCACCACTGACTCCAGGTGATGGATGAGTTGGGAGGACTTTACAATGATAAAAAGGGACAGAGCATAACAACAAATAGTAGTTTGAACAAACCACCACCCAACCTAAATGGTTCAGCCACACATGGCATAAAATACTACAAATGCTTAACTGGAAAAAGTGACATTTTATTGTCCTGAGTGGTCTTCCTTTCAACTCGACTGGGTTTTGACATGTAGATCTAGACATCATTGATGCAATGTAATATAAAGAGTACATGCTGTTATTCTACAGACTGTCAGTTTAACCTGGAATATTGCTAGGAATTTAACATATTGCTTACTCAGTTAATATGAATGATAATCTGATCAGTCTAAGCGGGTATTAAAACCCAATTTTACACAGAAAACAGGTGAAGACAAAGGTGCATATATAAGCCACACGGAAGCCAGAGTACAAATTAAGCACCCAGCGTGTCCCCTAAAAGTCATTTAAATTTAATTCTAATGTAAATAACCATTGTTCACCAGACATGTATCTTGCAGGTAAGGAAAGTAAGATATTATAAAGCTCAGCTGGCTTCTGTCTCTGCAAAGAGCATGATACTCATGTCCCTTGTGAAGGTGATAGGCAGTCACACACTTAAACGGGGGGAGAAAGATAGTGAAACCGATTTGGCTTGAAAAGGACCAGTCAAAGACAGAACCCTGCGGCACCACTGTACTCCAGATGTTCTTCACATCTATCAGGGTCCAAAGGTTGGTGAATTTTTCCTCCATTAACTAGGTTAATAAACTACTCTGATGGACTGAAAGCACTACCAGATTAAGCTGAAATTAAACAAGAATGCAAAAATGTGTGCAATAACACCAAACGACAATACGACACATAAAGGCTTGAACATAAGGCCACCTTCACACTCTCAGCACAAACAAGACACCACAGAAATGACACAATTGTACAAAACTGAATCCTTTTTATTAAAGTTCTATCTTAATTTTATATATATAAAATTTCTAATATCATTGGCCTGAAACTAGGACAAACAAAACCATGTGATCAGCCACCATGTCACTAGTCCACTGAATGGTAGGGCTGTCATCTTTTTCTATATCCTATATCCACATTTCAATTATACATTAACATTATTCACCAACTTACTGATCCCGCCACTAAATAAAATGCGGGGGAGGGGGGGCACATCAAAAAATGACTGACATACAATATCCCCACAGTGCAAGTTTCAGAGGCTCCAAATCCTTTAAGTGACACATAGGGATCATTGAGGCAAAATAAATAATACAATGTTCATGATCACCAAAGATTCCCCTTCAGTTTCCCAGAATACAAAGTACATCTCTTGCATGCACTGTAACATTACCACAGTTCAGTCTGTGCTGAAATTACACTTGACATTTCAACATGGATCCATGGAGTGTTCTCATGCTTGTGATTAGTAATACATCTAGTCTATTTATATCTTTACCATGGAGAAGGTGGGCTTGTACGTGTGCATCTCCAACACTGCGTCACAATCGCGTCCTTAGGACTGATACACACAGCAAACCGCTTATATGCAATGATAAGTACACATACACAGTAACAGGTTCACAAGGCCAGCAAAGATCTGCATTTGGCTTTTAATGAAACAGTACTTCCATACTTCTGTGTTGACTTTCCAGACTCAAATAGAAAATATAGGTATTGAATGAAATGTACTTGTTTACAAACGGACCTAAGTCACTATCGCCATCCTGTGCTTTTGTACTCGCCCGCTCTCAGACAGAACCCAAATCTACACTAGTCTTCAAAGGAGTTACTAGGCCAGACACACCAGAGGGAGCGACTGAAGGAAGGTCCAAACTGTGGAGGCACTGAACAATACGCCGCCAGCGATGATGACTCGTACACCTGGACAGACATCCCATTCATCCAACCCGCATGTTCTTTTTTGAGGGTGAAGCAGAAGGAGACAGTGTGGGACTGAGGGAAACAGCTGAGTGACATGCTACAGTC